TCTTGTTTTGTGGCCAAGTTGCCCGGACATTGCTACCTGTCGCCTTTTTCGCAGCATGCATGTTAATGCTCCGCCATTACGTTGATTTCACAATATCCTTGCACATCCTGTCCAGAGCACTGCAGGCTCAGCTTGGCTTGGCTTGGCTTGGGAGCATCCCGCAACGGAGCAGCGCAATGTCAAAATTGTTTGTGGCAGTTGCCGCCGCAGCTGCGTTGCCAGCGGAAATGCCGCTACCCAGAGCACAGACACCGGGAGAGGGGGGAAAGAGTGGAGAGGGGAGTGGCGGTGAGTGGGGAGTGGGGCGAGTGCCTTAACGATAAACAGGAATGGGAGATGGCAAAGGGCGCAGCAGCTGAAGTATCCGGAACCTACACACACTCGCACACACACGCACACATACACACACTCTGGCATACGCAAAACAGGCAAAACTGCAAAAATGACAACTGAAATATGCGACGCTGTGCAAATTTGTGAGTGAGTCGGCGGGAGAGACGTGTGTGTGTGGGACAGGGGAAAACGGGGGGATCAGTGCTGTGGGCATTGGTCCTGGCATTGTGGTTTATGTCACGCATCATCGTCAGCTGCTGCCGCACTCGCCGGCATTGCTTCAAGCTTCTTCGTTTGCCGTTTGTCGTTTCTTCAGCATGCCAGAATGTTTGGCCAGTGCAGAGTTTGACTTATCGCTGGCCAGTTCATGGGCCGGCGCCATCTACCGGCAGGAGTTAACAGTCGGTGACGTGTTTGTGCATAATGAGCCGCTTGCCAAGCCAGAACCCGAGGCCGAGCCCGAGTCCGGGTCCAGTCCAGTTGAGCCTTTGTTGTGGTGCTTGCATATATCCTTGCATACAACTGAGATGCCATTCATTTGCGGCAATCCTTGCCAGCCACAGGCTGTACCCGTTGCCCAGGGCAGCTGGCTGCACCTGCTCTGCTCTGCTACGGCCTGAGCTCTACGCTCCCATCGTTTTTTTACTCATCCGCTTAAGCCGTCGCTCGACTCTGCTCGGCTCTGCCTTTCTGGCAGTTGTTCTGTCATTAACATCACTCGACATTTTATTTTGTGTATATATAAAAAATATACAGTAACAGCAACAACAGCAATAACAACTTCTCCAACGGTCAGAAATAATCGCAATGCAAATCTTTGTGCAACGGAAATGAGAATGAAAGAGCTGCAGAAACTGCACAGAATAATCATAGGGCAACACATACACACACTCACACACACACATACATAAGGGGCGTGTGCATATCCAAGGGATATGCTCTGCAAAACATCAGAGACATTCACTTTTCTCAGTTGCATATTTATACTTGCTCAGGCACTGAAAAGAGAACTGAGAAAGGTGTATTAGTTTCATTGGGGGGGCTGACGGAATGTTAAACATTAATAGAAATGGAGTTTCGAATTTCTTATAGAATCGTAGATAGGAGAAAGCGTGACATATTATATTGAAGTTTAGTTTCATTAGATTTGTAACAGGGATCCATTGGATCGTTTATTTTTCAGGTAGATTGCATTCTACCTCCTGCCAAATCTGAAAATCTGAAATTTTAATTCTTGAAAAACTTAAAATCACTCCTGAATAGTGAACAGGTATTATGCATTTACATACGCTCGACTGCAATGGTCTTTAGTTGTTTTGCTTTCGAATAGGGCGAAAGGTGTTGAATTTCAGATTCGTAAAGTTTTCAATATTTTTTGCATATTTGCTTAACAAGTCATTAATGCAGTTGCAGAACCTTTTAAGAACTTACTTTTAATAAAATTCAACTTGACAATCAAATATTCTGTCTAAAGATATTTCTTTAGGACTCGAGTGTTTGGCCCCAAACGAATGGGGAGGAATTCGTTAAGTCAAATGTTGGCTTCGTCCATGCGAACCGATGACAATTTTCCCAATAACAAAGACATCTGAATATGTAAACAATTGCCATATAACAGCAAATCTACATATAAATGATTGAGGGGCAATTAAGATATTTTGCACTACTGGAGAGGGTTATGATATATTGCTGTGAATTTTGCAAGAGAGATTTTATATTCTAACTAGATGGAGTAGAAGGGTAGATCAACGTTGTTATTATATACCCTTTGTTAAAAGGGAGAAGCAGGCATGGCAGAACCCACAAGTTATATATATTCTTGATCAGGGCGAAGAATTGAGTCGATTTAGCCCTGATTTAGTCCGTCTGTATGTATGAACGCTTCGAGTTCAGAAAATATAAAAGCTAAAGACTAGAAATTTTCGGAAATATCCGTATATATAGCTCGGCTATCGAGTTTATCTCAGAAAATCGATAACTCATCCCGTCAGTTTTATCGATTAAAAACGATTTTCTCGATATTTGTTATTATATGCTCCCCCCATCCCAATATCCACCCTCTCACCAATAAATCTTTAAAAAACTTACTTCAAATATTAAAAACTTGTGCTTTGGCAAATGCACGCATTTAAATAATACAATCACAATCTAAAAGTTTCAT